GGGGGGGGGGAGGGAATGCAATGAGAAAGTGCACAAAGGAGGCGAATTAGTCGGTATTGCCTGAGGCACCTAATTAACGCGCTACGTTACTACGGCGCGCGCGCGCCCACGCATCCGGCCGTTCCTCTTCGTCATTACCTGAAAACTGCGCCGGCACTTTTCCGGAGCCGGAATTCCTTTGACGTCGACGGGCGGACGGCGGGTAACGGCGCCGCCGGAAGAAACGGGGATACACCTGAGTCACGCGTGACTTTCTCAAAAGCACGCACACGGACGAAAACAAAGTGGTCGACATTGTCGAGGAAAATTGCCCTTGCAATGTTCAGTAGCTTGTCGTCGCTTTTCTTGTTCCGGGCATCGCGTACGCAGCCACCTTCCGCTCGATTTTTCGAGGACGAGAACACTCGCGGAGAAAGAAAAGGGAAAGGAGAGGGCGGGAAGAAAGGGGTCGTTTATTCTCGAGTTCTCAATTGCTCGTCGAGAACGGAACGTTATCTGATGATGTTGACATTCAAGTGAGACGAAAGAGCTCTCCGCAATGGTCGCGAAGGGTTCTTGTGTACGTGGCGAAGGGTCGACCAAGAATCGCGTCTAGGTGCCAATTAACCATCAAATAGCAACACTAATTATGCTCTTTTGATCATTTTTGTAGATTAATTATTGAAGAACAAAGAGAATTATATAAATCATCGTTATATAATAATAATATTAATCAACATTATTCAGTCGCATAATAATTATTTTGGAATTTCAAACATGTCTATCTCGAAGAAAAAAAAGTTTTTGATTTGATTTATCGTACGATAAGTTTTTCGAGATAGTTATCTACAAATCCATCCAATGCATCTTTGAATCAATACGAATTGTACAACATGAGGTCTCCGACTCGTTTCGCAAAGAAATGTCGGAGATAAACGTTACTTCCGTCTGGGTGAAACTCCAATATGTTTCCCTTCTCGACGAGTACGTAGAAGAGAAAGGCTTGGTTAACCGCCTTTAATCTAAAATGCTGGTTGTCCGAAGAACGACTACCGTTCACCATGAGCTAGACGAGAACGAGGATCTCAATGAAGCTTTTAAGGACCTTATTTCGAATTGATGCGCGCGCGGATACGACTCATTCGATCGCCTATTTACGAGGAAACGATGCACTAGCTCTACATATTGTCAGTCCTTACACGGTGGTAAATTGCCACTTTGGTAGCCTAGCAATAATTAACGTTTTGCGGTAACACGTGTCCTTTCGCGGCAAATAGAACGTGAAGGACAGAAATTGTCCAGATCGGATAAGGTTTTCCATGGAGAAAAAAGTTCTTCCCTTTTTAGGAATATACATCGAAATCTTTGCATATTCTTAAAATTAATTTTAATAATTAAAATAATTAATATAGAACGTGTATATAAGGTTCTCGTTAAAAGATTCTATATAACTTTTAACGTGCCCTTCAAGATCACCGTGCCGACATCTGTGACGTTGCGGTTCAAGGTGGTATAGTGGACTACGTTACCTACGAAAGCGCGAAATACGTTTTGCATATTCGCTGTCTCGAATAGCGATCGCATATTTATATGAATAAGCTAAGGAAACATGCTGCTCGCCTTGAACGAATTTATTATATAACGCTGCGGTAATATCTTTTTCGTCGATAATGCAATACGTAACTCGATCTTTTACTATCATTAAAAAAATTTGCAATTTAAATATTCATTAATTTGAATATTTAAATATTCATCGAGAGAGACAATCATCAGATAATTTTAATCATCATAAAATACTTAATTCCAAAAAAAAATATTGAAAATAGACATTTTTGAAATAACAATATATTTCATATCGTATATAATATTATAAACATGAGTATTGTGTACGCGAGTCATCTCAGAACTATTGTCAATTTTCAGACTTATAAATTCTTTAATCATTTTGATATTAAACATCTCGTTTCTCGAAAAGTTAATTAGACTTTATTCATTAAATCAGAACTTTTCAATTTTTTACATCAAACTTGTGCTGCAAAAATAGATTTTTTGTTAAAGCAATATCTTGAATGAAATACTGATAATTCTGAGACACTCTATATATACATGATCGAGAGTATCCACGATCAACGTGGCATACATAAAAAATTTTCAGACTATTCATATATATATAAATTTTTGAATTATATCTATATATATTTACAATTGCTTAGGCACTTTATATCGATACGACATATATACAACCCATAAGTCCTTATGTACATAGTGATATAACAATTTTATTAAAGAATTAAAAGTATTTGCTAATCTATAAAATATATTAAGTACACAACAAAAGGAATGTCTGAAAATTAAACGCGCTATACACATTTGAGATTTTTGTCGTTATATATAATTATATAAAAGATAAATATCTAGTCAAAATATCAAACAAGGTACATATAATCGTCTAACAAAGCGATATACAAAATAGTACAAGAATCTATTTATTCGGTTAATATATAAAATTAATATTAGCATATAGAATCTATGTAGTCACTGGACAAATTGAAGATTTTGTATCTCTTTCTTCTCCTTTCGACAACCACATAATATAT